GTTTAAGATTTTAATTTTTTTTTTTTTTATAAGAAACTAATATATGTTGAAGGATAGTATGAAAATAATTTAAGAGGTTTTCTTCCTTGACTTTGACCTTTGGAACAAAAAAAATTGAAATTCGTTTGACTTTTTATAACTAGTCTTGAGTCATATAGAATTTATTTGAAACACTTCTTTTTACACTGCTCTAATATCGTACATGAGATTCACACCTTATACTGCCCTTCGTATAGTTCTTTAGAATAATTGGATATTTACCTCGTACATGAGATTCACACCTTATACGGCTCCTCATACAGTTCTTTAGAATAATTGGATCTTTTACAAAGAGATATACGATGAGCGTATAAGGTGTGAATTTTATGTTTGATATTAGAGTGATAAGGATAACATGTCGATTACACTAAGTGACACATTTGAATAATAGCTTTTACATCCCTACTTCAGGATATGCATCCACTGCTGCCCATCAAAAACTTGTTGGATGCAATGGCTACAAAACCTAAAAATAGATTGAATGGTAAAAAAACACTTGCTAAAATTGCCATATAACCCGATGAATTCGTGCACTTTCTTGATAATGAATGAACCAAAAGAAAATCAGAAAAATTGAATAATTTTTAGCCACGAGATTCAATCCAATAAAGGAATATGTGGTTCCAAAAACAGTATATATTCACGTTGAGACCAAAAGCTTTATTTCCATTCACAAGCCATTGGCATTTCCAATAAAAATTCTCATACTTCTTAACAACTCAAAAATTGTCTCATAAACGATTCAAGGCCATTATGGCTGCTCCAAGAGAAATTGCTGTCAAAACATGCCTTCTCTTGTGTTTAGCCTTGCTCGCGATTGGAGCCAAATCCACCCCTCTCAATGGTGTCCGTCGTGGCCTTGTTGGTGAGACAATTTTTGACGTTATGAAGTATGGGGCTAAAGCTGATGGCAGGTTTGATAATGCCCAGGTGAGTGATTAGGGGGAATTGAAATCTACAACCCGCATTTGTTTTGCTTATTTGTCTCGTGAGAAGGGAATTAGGCTTAATCTTTAACTTTTTTTTTAGGCTTTCATCCATGCCTGGAACGCAGCATGCAAATCAACTGGACCAGCCAAGGTTGTTATTCCGAAGGGAGACTTTGTGGCTGGGAATGTTATTTTCCAGGGGCCGTGCAGTGCTACAAAACCCATAACCATTGAAATCCTAGGAAATGTATTGGCAAGCACAGACCTTAGTGCTTACCCTTCAGGCTCATGGATCAAGCTTGACGAAATCGATGGCCTTGTAATCACTGGGGGAGGAACAATTAATGGCCGGGGAAAATCTTTGTGGCAGTTCGCTGGCAGCCATAATGAGGGCACTCTTCTCCCAGTTGTAAGACCACCTTTCATTTACCTTTTCTGAATGACATCATCTAAGAATTTAAATTGTTAGAAAGACGAAAAATTAATTTATTTTAATTTATTCTGGATTTCATCCACTCACGTACATGCTGATATAATTTTTCATATAAGGCGTGACAACGTGCACAATTTTTGGGTGCAGTCTCTTGTGTTTGAGAAGATAAAAAACTCCGAAATGCACGATGTGAATTTCGTAGACAGCATGGGTTTCCATTCTAAGGTCACCGACAGTGAAAACATTAAAATATCGAAACTCAACATATCTGCCCCCGACGACAGCCCTAACACGGACGGCATGCACATAAGTAATTCTATTAATGTCAATGTCACTGACTCCATTATCGGAACCGGTGACGACTGTGTCTCCATTGGTCATGGCACCACCAACATTCTCGTCTCCGGAATTACTTGTGGCCCTGGACACGGCATCAGGTCAGCCCTAGTATCCCATAATTTAAACTTTTAGAAGCGATGAAAATGAATTCAGCATGTCGTTTAAATACTCATCATGTTTGTATGTCAGTATTGGTAGCCTCGGAAAGCGCCCAGCAGAAACAGATGTGAAGGGAATTAGTGTCATCAACTGCACACTTAAAGGAACTACAAATGGTGTAAGAATCAAAACCTACCATGCATCTCCATCAATCCAAGCTTCCGACATTCTTTACAAAGATATAATAATGGCTGATGTTAAAAACCCCATCATCATAGATCAGCATTACGACTCCAAGAATAAACCCGAGGTACGTATTATACTCCACCCGTAATGGTTTGATAAATCTTGCATATATCGGTTAATCTTTAATTCTGTTTCTACGATATTTGAATATATCTTTTTTTTTCTGCAGCAATCGAAGGTGAAGATCAGCGACGTTCACTTCGTAAACATAAAGGGAACAACAATTTCAAAAATTCCAGTTTCTCTCTACTGCAGCGAAGCAGTTCCTTGTGAAGGTGTTGAATTGGCTGATATTGATTTAGCCCCTTCTGGTGCCGTCGGTTCTCTTACATCTGTTTGTGACAATGCAAAATTTGTGTTAAAAGGAAAACCTATCCCTCCCGGTTGTGCATGAATAGCAGCAAAAAACTGAAAAAAAAATAAAAAGTACAGCTAATAATTGTTTTGATATATTCAAATCGAAAGATGATATTTTGACTTCTTTTTTTTTTTTTTNTTTTTTTTTTTTTTCAATTTTTTGACCCTTAGATGGGGTGATAAGTTTTAGGTAATGCACAGCACTGTTGTAATTGCATTATATAATATCAGACTGATAAAATAATTATTGCATATGCATATTTCATTTGTATAATAGCAGTGCAGACGTTTTCCTACAGATTCAACATTGATTCTTCTCTCTTACAATTTAACTTCTTATTGGTGTTTAAATTTGGGGAGGACTAAGCAATCCG